AGGGCGAAATCTCGGGGTAGTGTCTTATCTACAAACCCATCTGTTTTCCAAAATTTACCCTAGAACTAAATTCGTTAAAACTCCTTTGCCAAAGAAAAGCACAAACAAGTCATACGCGGAGGCCGGGGCCGAATTTTCGGAGCCCACAATAAGATTAGAGATAGTCACCTTTGATGGTTTGGTCACATAAAACGACAGTCTTCCAAGGACCTGGTTGGGAGAGTAGATGCATTAGATTTGACTTATGTTAAAAAAAGTAGAGGTAGATTTAAAAAGACTTGGTTAGAAAATATTAGAAATGACCCTTCTTTATTAGATTTAAATGAAAATTTGACTCTTAACAGGACACAATGGAGAAAAATGATTCATGCATCCAACCTCACTTAGTGGGATAAAGGCTTGATGTTGTTGTTGTACATCATTGGTTTCTCTTCATAGAAATTTGGGGATAATAATCAAGATATCAATCTGTCCATGTTATTGGTTGAGAGAGAATAAAACCATATATTATAAAGACAGACTATACATGAAGAGGAAGGCGTTGTTATTATCCTCGTCCTTTCTCTATTATAGAAGTTCTAACAAAAATATCTTCCTTTGATGAACCAAATTTAGTCACCTCATTCTTCTTGAAGAAGCAGAAAATTTCCTTCCCACAATCACCTGAAAATATTAATTTTTTTTTATTCTGTCAGTTGGCAGCCACCACCCTCCCCTCTCCCCCTTTGTATCTATGTGCTTATAGTTTTGGGGATGCTAAACCCTTCATTCCATGACTTTATTTATCGTGATAATAAGAAATATATTTTGGGACATAATTAATTACCATATATTACGATATATTATATAATCTTAAAATCAATAAAAGTTCTCATAAGATCTCTTAAATTGAATAAATGATCTCATCACGATTTATGTGTTACTACAAAATCTCTAAAATGTTCTAATACTTCTAAAAAAATAGATTTATCAGATTTTTATTTATAGAGGATACTTGGTCATTTTTTCTGAAGATTCTATTATTTGAAAATTTAGGTCAAAAATCTTAGCACTATAATATAGGCTTCTTGATTAACGAACCATTTTTCAGCATTTTGGCTGCTTTGTTGCAGTTGAACACAGTGTAAGAATGAAAACTACCTGGCTGCTTTTCAAGAAATTTTCCTTGAGAAGCTACTTTAGATGCAGTCTTTAAATTGGTTCATAAAACAACTTCCTAGCAAATAGTTATTCAACCTCTTTTACGAAAGGAAAAGCCAAATCAAATTAGCCATATGAGCGCTGAACGCTGTCATGTTAGAATTGAGATCATAAACTGATAGGTCCTAAACCTTACATGCTTTTATTTTAAATTCCACTGCAAGACCAGTTAGAGTTTATAACAAACCAACAAATTAGGAAAAAAAGTATTCTTGATCTAGATTTGAAGAGGGATCAATTATCCTATCTTTAAATTTCATTCATTACTATCCACTCCAAATCATTGAATCAGATTGGCATCAGACCTTCCAGTCCTCAATCATGTTCTTCATGTTTTACTGTTTGTGCGTGTTGCACGCCACCAGCAAATTGATTAGAAAATGGTCGTTCTATTTTCAATCCTTAGGATACTTAGGCTTCGTTTGGGACGGCTTTCTTACTGCTTCTTAAAGCATTTTTTTAGTAAAAAATTAAAATTTTTTACTAGAAAGTTGCTTTAAGAAGCAATAAAAAAACCGTTCCAAACGAAGTCTTAGTTCAAGATTAAAATCATAGGACCTGATCAGCACCTATTAAAACTCTTTCATGTAAAAAAATAGTGGTTGTTTGTGAATACATGTGTAAGAATATAAAATTGAACGGTCTTTAAAATAGTGTGGTCAAAAGACATTATATATTAAATATATTATATTTTAGCTCTGGAATTTCCATCCACAAGGTACTGTGATGGAGAAGAATTAACTACGATTTGGAAATGTTTCTCCCTAGGTGATTTGTAATATAACAAGTTGATAAAGTTTTTATTCAGTATTGTAATTGGTGATCAGGTTGACCCTAAGGTTTAAAATTGAATTGACTGAACCAAATTGTCTGCATAATCAACTATTTCGTAGTTTATCGTTTATACATATTTTATTTATGCCGGCAGTTTGAATTCATTAGATATTGATCAATGTTACATTTATAGCAAAAATGAAATTATTTTTAAGTCAAAGTCAATTTAAAATAAATTTCAGTTCATTTTATAATATGTCTACTGGCGTGTTTGATTGCAGTTTTTCAGCACGGAACCCCTAGCTTGTGATCTTTCAGGTCTTCCTGTTCTTCCAAACAAGGAAGAGGATGAGACAAAATTGACTCGGGAACGGAAAAAGTATGTTGTTTTCCTGTAAATGGTTTTATTAGTTATAATTTGATTAATTATTACATGCTGGTGTAGTTCTGTGCAAATGTATACATTATAGTTTTCGAACTTTTCCCATCTATTGATATTTTGATTAGTATCTGAATGCATGTGTTCAATAAGAACTTTTTTTGGCTGATTTTTGGAAAGAAAAGACTTTTTATTATTTCTCATTGATAAATGTATAAATGCCTATATATCGGCAAACGAGGAGAACAAAAATAGGACGAGAACAAGGAGAAAAATATCTTTAATTGCAAGACTATATTATAATAATAAACATTTTTTTTTTAATGTTGCACTTTCATATGATAACTGTTGAATTATTATGGGACCTACAGGTTAATCAAATTCGGTTGTGATCCTTGAGCACATAGATTAAGAATTTAACCCATTAGATCGATTCTCTTATGATCCTTAGATTGCAATTCGTGTGCCTCTTCTTCCTCTTGTAGTCACTAGCCCCATTTGGGCAGTTTCTTTTTTTTTTTTAAATAGCTTTGATTTATCTTCGATGTAATATTTTGAAAAGTTCATATATACTTTCACACTTTGCACAAAATCAAACAATAAAATCCAAAATAGTTTTTCCTACCTTTTTGCATGATATTATAATGAGATTGGGGGATTTCCTTCGTCCAATCTTAGTTTTCTTTCTTTCTTATTGGAATTCTTTCTTTCTTTTTCTTTTTTTTTTTTAATTATGTCTGGCTTCTTTGATTTCCTATTTAAGGAGTCAACCACCAAGAATGATGAAAGTCAGACTAAGGGAGAACTCTTGGAGCTATAAGCCTTATAACGTTAGCAGGAGAAACTATTTAAAGTAGTACTAAATTATGAAGATCTTTCTATAAGGAAACTAAACGATCCATTTTCTTGTGGAGCCAAGGACCTAAAATTTATAATTTGGGATGAAGTGAATCATGATCATGACAAAGTTGTGGAATATCTTGATGCTTAAAATTAATTGGTCATATATTATTATTTTTATCGTAAAAAAGTTTAAGATGCTGTCAAATATATGTACTAAAAAGTTAAGAATTCTACCCTTAGTTATAGTATCAAAACTAAAATTTCAACGGCCAAACAAAATAACTTTCATGTTATTAAATACTTTAATACAATGAAGATTTATTTGCTTGAACTAAATTATTATCAAAATCTCAATATATGCTATGATGATTCAATGATTATGATGTAATTTGTAGAAAGGAAAGGGTGTTTCTTGTATGACTCAATGATGACTTAGGCCAAGTTTTTGTCCAAATCCTAAGCATAAAAAACACATCATCACTAATTGAGGTTTTTTTTTTTCTCTTATATGAGCCAAAGAAGTAAGGACAATAATGCTCGACGTTCTACCCTCTAAAACATTTGCCATAGCAACCATCGAACCCCCGAAATGAGGAATGGATTGCTACAGACTTTTTTATTAAAGAAAGATAAAGCTTTCTTTCAAATGCAATCTATGATGCAACTACTTTATGAAGTAAGGACACATCAAAGAAATTTTGTAGAAACTTCATGAAAAGCCCTAGAATATGGTGGGAATGAAAAAGGTTACCAAAAAGGATGTGTTTGTCTTTTAGAATCAAAAGGGTCAATCCAAAAGAAATTGATAAATTGAGGAACTTTCTTTACTTTTTGGAGAATTTATCTGGATCATGCTCGCCAACTAAAAATTGTATGACTTCTAACTATTGTGTTTTCAATGTCTTAAATTATTCTTCTCATACTTTTTGGGAACCATCAATTATAATGATGATATCCTTTCAAATTGTAATTACCTACTTCAAATTACCAGAATTCTCTACCGAAGGCATACATACCTGTTTACAAAGATTGAGTATGATTGTTTTACTTTCAATAATTGGTTGCCTCCTTGAAATCCTTATCTAACTCCTTATTGTAATCATATTGGATATCTTTAAAAGAAACATTTAGATTATTACTTTGATCAATCCTCTCATTATGGTAATAATGAATACTATGATGGATACGTACTAGATCTGCATGTGACCCATGTTCATAGGATTGATGTGATAAATATGTGATTATTGAACTTAGAACTACTTGGTTCATGTCATCCCATGATCGATTCCAACATGAGTATTATGATCCAATGAAACTTTGCTTCCTCTTTTATCGCCTCCAATCAAATGTAAGTTTTTTTTTTTATTTTATTTTTAATCAAATGTAAGCTTTTGTAATAGCTATAAGAACTTAATGTACAGTACTATTAAAAATGAATATGCAAGCTAAAATGTTTTTCTACAACCTCCAATTGAAGAAGAAATAATGCATTCATTGGATCCTTTATGATATGGATACATCTTATTAAAGATCTTTGTGAGAGTCATCTTAGATATGTAGATAAGTGTGGGCTCCGAAAATTCGCATCCCAGCCTCTCCGTATATATATAATTTGACACCACCTAAAAATTCTTGAATCTTGGCTCAAGAAAAACCTTACAAGAAATATGACTGTCATGTATTAACTATCATAACATAAAATTGGCGCGCACCACCAAAAACCTGATTCATATAAGGAGCATCTACAAAAATTTTCTCATCAAAATACACAACATTTTTAAGGAGTAGGATAGGTTGATTACTATACCATTCAATCATTAATCTAGCCTTCCTTCTTCAATGATGAATTCATCTCTGCTCAAAAATTTTTTTTACAGGTTTCTTTTGGGATGGATTTTGGCCACTTCTTTTTTACTGCATTTAAGGAAATTTTGTATGAGAAAACTTCTTTAGAAAATAGTAAGAACGCTCTCCCAAACGAAGTCTTAGTCTTCTCTAACAAAGCATCATTAACAAATAATTCTTCGAATATCCCCACAAGGATCATTAACATCGATTCAACTATTGGAAGCCTTGTTGTAGGGCTCAAATGCTCCAAACTTAATTTATCTATGAGATTCTATGATGTCTTCTCACAAGAAACTACAACTTGCGGGATTGAATACCTCCCTTATGTCTAAAACATGGCCACTTTTATCTAGGAACGCTTCTGTAATAGTGATTGTTTCCTCTACTTGGGGACCTCCTCTGAAACCAAAATGCTTAGTGGAGGAAATAACTTTTGATTACCTTTACAACAATTAAGATTCCTCTTAACAACAGAACACATTTTTTCTTTGTTCCATGCCTACTGTAACTCCTTTTTAAGTGCTTTATGGCTCTTGATTCATTTAGGGTACCTAATGCATTGATCCTTCCTTCACTAAAGATATGCGAGTACGTATGTTTTGATTTTATGTTGAACTATTCATCCTGGTCAATTTTTACTGGATGGAATTTGATTAGAACATGTTGGGGGAGGTGCATGCTTGAGGAGCTGGATATTTATTCTGATAGCTATTGTTGATTTTCTTTTTCAGTTCATTATCAAGATACTATTTTTTGGCCGATTACGTTGTTAGTTTCCTTTTATTAGGCGGTGATGAGAGATAATGATACATAAGAATGTTCAATCAGTTAATGTTCTTTGCATCCATGCAATTTTTTAATAATTTGAGAGAATATCATGTGCCTTCTGGATGTTGGAGAATATTGACATTTATATTTTGTGGTTGCCCTCGCAACCCATGAAAAACGTCTATAATTTTATTTGCATTACTTTTGAGCCCTATGATTTTAGAGTGGACTTATCCTTCTTTTTCTTTTATTGTTTGTAATATTAGGAAGTCTCTCAATTTTTTTGCAAAAAAAAAAAAAAAAAATCTTTTGGCACCTCATGCTTCGTTTGAGGGCTCTTACTACATCATCTCTAATAGAGGAAACCTTGTTGATGAAAAATCGCTCAATGGTTCTCTACATATATTGAATTGTTTAGATTTTCTTGTCAATAGAGCAGAGTTTTTAGCTCTTCAAAGACAATCAATCTCTTTCACTCCTATAATAAATAAATAAATAATCATAAAAATAATTCAACAATCAAATAAACTATAATTAAAAGTTAATTAATGAGAAATTTTGCAAGGAATTTAAAACCTTATAATTATGTTTGAGTTGATGTCATTATTGCTACATGTGTATAAATAAGATTTTTTTATCAAGTTATTATTTGGGATTAAATTTTGAGACACCTGTGCCAAATTCAATTTTATGGATTGATTCATTGTTCTTGTCAAGAGGCATGCAAAGCAATAAATAAAAACATCTTTATTGCCACAACATCATCGCCACCATTACCTTATTTCTGCCATCGTTGCCAACCTCATCGCTCAATTATAATGACTTCCCTAAACTTAAAACTCAAACATCTCATTTTTGGCACTTGTGTCGTGTTAGTGGACCACCCTATATGCTCTAGTAGCATCATGGGAGGGAACCCTGTGCAACGCTTTTAATGGGTCAGGGAAGTTTTTATGCGCTCTTGTAGCATGGCGAAGATAATCTTAAATACCCATATATGTGTTGTCATGGCTGCAGGGGAAAAATTGTGTATTTTTAAACAGGTACCTCAAAGACCCCTACACGCTCTTGTAGCATGGTGGGATTAAAAATCACTACCATGGTGTCACCCAACACCTACCTTACGTGCTCTCATAGTGTGGTAGGAAAGGCCTAGCTCCCAAAATTTTTCCTAAATGGGGGAGATACCGTGCGGCTGCCAAAATCTGAATTGTTAGATGACTTGGACTTAAACAAAATGCAGAGAATAAAACTTAAAATGATGAGCAGGGGACTAAACTTTAAATTAATCAAAGGCACGATCAAGATGAAAATACAAATAATGAATCATAATTTTTGTCATCTGATTGAATGTCAATGAATAAACAAGGGGTAAACGACTAGCCAGATTCTCAATGCACAATTTATCGATAAATAGTAAAATTAAAGTAAAATGTCTTATTCAATTAACCAATCTACAAGTAAGGGCCAAGAATATGTAGTGAACATGGATTCTTATGAGTTTATGTAGGGGACATGTAGTGAATGAGTTAATTGGCTCACAAGCATGAGTGTGAGGTTATGACACACACAATGATCCATTTATAAGCCTTCACAAGGAACCTTTAATAATCCAAATATTTTTCTTGAAATGATTTTTTTTAAATGAAAAATATGAATTTTAGCACCGTACCTTGCCGAAGAGGAGATAGGGTAGAGAGAGAAGGTTGTTCGGGGCTTTTTCATCTGCCAATATTGTTAAGAGATTTTTTTCTATTTGTTATAAGTAATTCAAATCTCATTTTAGTTTTTAATGATTTTAATTATTATATAATTTTTCTTGTAATAAACATAATTGATTATTTCTTGTTGTATTTTGATCGTGGCATTTGCATGATCAAGAAATACTAATTGTTAATATTATAAAATAGGTTGGCTATTAAAATATAATACCATACACAATAAGGTGGGCCGATGGACTTTTCTTTAAATATGATTTATGGTGTTATCCATGTTGTAGCCTATAATAGATGATCGATTACACCGACGAGCAGAGAGTGACGACTCTTTATTGATTCAATGAAGCCACCTGTAATGACAATTGATTAATTAAATATGATAATTGGTTATCTGGATAAGTGATAATTGATACGATTGATGACCAACTGGAAAATAATTGGGGTAAAAAATGTTGAAAACATCACATTAAAGTTGGATGTCCTATCTTGCTAAATCATACATTGATGCATGCATATATTGATAGCGCTGATGATAATGACAAATGCATTAATATTGTTGACAATGTTGGATGCATTAATAATACATAAATAGATGGTGTATATGAATAGATAGAATAATTTTTTTTAGTAATTCAAGAATAATTTTTTCACTGTTGTTTTATCGGTTTATTGAATTTTATACCGATTATTAATTTTTAGCTTCATTGTAATGATTCTCTGCTTTTTTTACTGATCAGTTTAAGTTTTATTAATAATATTTAGATGTTAACTATATTGAATGAATTTTTGTCTCAGCATTGTACGAATATCTAGCACACAAATAGAAGAAAAACAAAACACTGTAATTTTTATATGGAAAACTATGAAAAAGGGGAAAACAGCGGTGCCATGCTCAGTTGAAATGATTCAACAAGTGTTGAATTAGATTACAAGTGGCCGACTCGTTCCTGAAATTGAGGACGATCATATTACAAAAATCAACCGTCGGGTTGAAATCCAATTACAAACGGAGATCGAAAATCCGGCGACACTTGGTGGTCGGGCAAAAATCCGACCTCAATTGACGGTCAAGCGGAAGTCCGCATCGGTCGGAGGTCGAACAGAAGTCCAGAGTCGGTCGGCTGCATGGTGGAAGTCTGAAGGTAGTCGCGGAGGAGTCTGGTGGCAAGAGAATTCAAGTTTTTCTTCTTTCTGCTCTTCCTTGCTCGGCCCCCCTCGCATGAGAAATGAAGCGTATATTTATAGTTTTCTGAGAGTGTCATGACTAATAAATAGAAGGAAGATCAATGATGAATTGGGAGTGGTTGGAATGGACGTCCGATGTTGAATCCCTTGATCAGGGACCGTTTATTGGGCATTTGAATGTCTTAATGATATCGAAATTCGGTGATCTTGGGCTCGTTGGACTCGCCTCGTCGAGCTGCTCGATTCGACTATGAGGATGTCATGTTTGGAAATCGTTTGGTAGTCCAAATCAAGGTTTGATCATTCCAAATGTGCTTCGGGTCTTTGCTCATTTGGGCTCAGATTGAGTTGAATTTGGTGACATAAGGTTCGTATTGTCGAGGCGTTAAGTTCGACTATAAGTTTGCTGAAATCGTCATTCAGACAATCTCCGATTAAATTTTTGATGTTTCTAACTTGATTTTTTCTCGAGATTCGTGCCAAATCAAGATAAATGCTTAATGATATATCAATATATATACTCTAATATAATATAAAACATTAATATTTAATAATATCCGAATTTACGACTATAAGTTTGCTGAAATCGTCATTCAGACAATCTCCGATTAAATTTTTGATGTTTCTAACTTGATTTTTTCTCGAGATTCGTGCCAAATCAAGATAAATGCTTAATGATATATCAATATATATACTCTAATATAATATAAAACATTAATATTTAATAATATCCGAATTTACCAGATTTACTAAATGCTACTTATTGCCAAACAGCCTCTAAAGAGTATAATGAACTTCAATAAGTTTCGTCATCTATCAAATCTGATTTTCTATCATCTCACTAGCCGTGACTGATCCACAACTTCCTCCCAGGAATCAAGCAATTTTTTTTTTAATTTTTTTGATGAGTGGAATATAAAGCCGTTCAAAATCTCCGACCTTGATGCCGCCGAGAAGCAGCAAGCTTCGTATAAGCGGAAATGGAGGAAAGCGTTAACGATTCAAATTAGATCCGTAGCCGAAGGCCCTGCACGCAGGAATGGGTTCTATTTATTTCAGCGCTCAGTTGAAGGTACTCTCATCTTCTTTATGTTATCAGTTCAGTCTGAGAGTAGTAGTGATCTTGAGCGTTTCTTGAAATTCCTCCAGCGCCACGGAAGACTAGTCGTTGGTAGCCTTCGCCTCTCTTCACTTTTGCAAACAGCCACCGCCACCGCGCTTCCGCTTACGCCGTCAGCCACAATGATCGGGCTGGTGAATTATCTTCGCAAGTATCTGCATGAACCTCCAATCAAGCCCCCCGCTTCCGAATTTCGCATTTCTGACATTTGTTTCCATTCTACCACCTTTAAAAATCCCTGCTTTCCAATGGCTGCCGCCCTCTTGAACGCTAACCGAACCCCACCTGCCGCCAGAATCCCACACACGGAATACGCCGCTGACGACCGATCATCACGTAAGGTCAAATTCCTCTGCAGCTTCGGCGGCAAGATCATGCCCCGTCAAAGCGATGGCGCCCTAAGCTACGTCGGCGGACTGACGCGGATTATAGCAGTCCGCCGTGATTCCACTTTCAATGAGCTCTGTAGCAAGATGGAAGATGCCTATGGCGGCCCTGTCGTGATCAATTACCAGCTTCCGGATCAAGAAGACCTCGAAAGCCTTGTCTGCGTCTCTTGTGCTGAAGATATGGAAAATATGATGGAAGAGTATGATCGCCTCTCACAGGCCTCTGGAGATCGATCCGCCAAGCTTCGAGTCTTCCTCTCGTCACCCTTTGACATGGAGAGTCATAGCGAGCCTGCTTTTGAGGCAGATCCCCGCAGAGCACATCGGGAAGCTAAAATGAAAAACGTCACCTTTAAGCTGAACTCAGATGCCGAAGGTGATGGATTCATCAATGAAGACACGTCTACTACCAATCTTTTAGCTGCTCTTTACGCATCAAGATTTGTGGAGAATGACAGCAATTCAGAGTTGGAGTATGAGAGATTTCCGGCTCATTTATCTCTTGATTGCACAACAAATGTGGCTACTCAAACTGTCAATCAACCATCTGTTGGGAACAATATTGCTTCTACGTCCAAAGCGCCTCACCAGGTACAACAACTGGTACACTTTCATCTTCCTCAGATGCATATTCTTCTATCTTTAGTACATTTACATCCTTGACAAATCCAATTTCAGGAAGCTGAAAGATATGGCTTGGATCCGTTACAACCACTGCAAAAAGAACAGGGTCTAAGATTAGAGAAGTTTGAAATGCGTCAGAAAGCACCGATTCGTTTTGATCATTTTGGAGCAGATCGGATGAACTTTATTCCCATGGAAACGCTTGAGGAGGAGGATGCGCAAAGTTTCGGTCCTTCACAACCTGTTCAAATGGGCTTGTTTGGAGACGCTCAGACATCTTTTGCAGCACCATTAGTAAATACTTCACAGCTTGATCATGTGACTTCTTTGGAGCAGCAACAACAACAATGGTCTCAAAAAAGCTGCAGGAGAGTCTAATTCATACTCCACTCTTCAAGCATATCAAGATCCTTGGAAAATTTTTGGATATACAAGGCCTAACACTAGTGTTATCTTAAAGAGAGTGAAAATCTATTTGGCGAATGATCTCTCGAACCAGTGTTAGAGAGTCCCATCTCTAGATGAAGTGATGTAAATGAAAATATTATTGTTATTATTTTGAATGAAATTTAGATTTTGTTTGTGACGGCTTTCCTTATTGGTTCTTAAGCAGCTTTTTTAGTAAAAAATAAAATTTTGGTACCAAAAATCTGCTTTATGAAGCAGTAAGAAAACCGCCCCAAACGAAGCCTCAGATTCATTTATTTATTTATTTTATTCAAATTTGTATATTACTTTTTAAACAAGGCGCATACGTTTGCAACAACTTTCTTATTGATTGTTTTTACATCATAATAAATTTTCTTTATTTGTTGTTTTTCAAATCAATAATCATAATTGATTATTTCTATTTTACTATTATTTTTTGTAATTTTACAAATAAATTTTATATGCTAAAAGCTACTATTATATACATCTTTAAAAATTATTTTCTTCCCACAATAATTTTAGATCATCGTTATAGAGGTAAGCTATCTTCCAAACGTACCCTAACTCTTGCTTGAAGTTTACAATTAAATATAGATATATGTTTCGCATTACCATATCAGCAATTATGTTTAATTGATTGATTATAAATTAGAAAATCATGAAGAAAAACATAACAAGTCACAATGACGCATAAATATTGCATTCTATGGTTAATGTTTCTAAGAGCTTTATATGTCATAGTAGATCATATCTATATGGAGATGAAGCCTCTAGAGCTCAAGTAATGTTGCAGAGATGTTCAAGCGATTTAGTTCAATTGAGAGCTGAGGGAAATCTCCATATGTTGGAGTTTAAGATTAAATGTAGCATTGAAATGAGATAGCTTAATGTTTTAGTCTGAGAAGTTAGCTCAGAAGTAGTTAGAAATACACTTCATTGCTAAAAGCATATTGCCATTGAGAACTTTTAGATGTTGTCACATTTACAACATGAGTATAATGATTATTTTTATAATGTGAGGACAACTAAAAAATAATAAAATTTTTTAGAGGGCGACTCGGGGAAGATGCAGCACTAAAAATTTCATTTATATATATATACTATATATATATATTAGTAAAATTTAATATATATATATATTAATTTGACACCACCTAAAATTCTTGAATCTGGCTCAAAAGAAAAACCTTAACAAGAAATACTGCTGTCATGTATTAACTATCATAACATAAAATTTGCGCGGCACCACCAAAAACCTGATTAATAAGGAGCATCTACAAAAATTTTCTCATCAAAATACACAACATTTTAAGGAGTAGGATAGGTTGATACTATACACCTATTCAATCATTAATCTAGCCTTCCCTTCTTCATGATGAATTCATTCTCTGCTAAAAATTTTTTTTACAGGTTTCTTTGGAGTGGATTTTGGCCACTTCTTTTTTCTGCATTTAAGGAATTTTGTATGAGAAAACTTCTTTAGAAAATAGTAAGAACGCTCTCCCAAACGAAGTCTTAGTCTTCTCTAACAAAGCATCATTAACAAATAATTCTTTCGAATATCCCCAACTAGGATCATTAAACATTGATCAACTATTGGAAGCCTTGTTGTGGGCTCAAATGCTCCGAACTTAATTTATCTATGAGATTCTATGATGTCTTTTCACACATAAACTACAACTTGCAGAGTTGAATACCTCCTTGTGTCAAACCATGACGCTTTATCTAGGAACGCTTCTGCAATAGTGATGTTTCCTCTACTTGGCGCTCGAAACCAAATGCTTATGAGAAATAAATTTTGATTACTTTACAATAATTAAGATCTCTTACCTTATTACAACACAGAACACATTTTTTTCTTTGTTCCATGCTTACTGTAACTCCTTTTTAAGTGCTTTATGGCTCTTGATTCTTTAGGGGACATATGCATTGACCTTCCTTCACTAAAGATATCTGAGTATGTATGTTTGATTTATGTTGAACAATTCATCCTGGTCAATTTTACTGGATGAAATTTGATTAGAACATGTTGGGGAGGTGCATGCTTGAGGAGCTGGATATTTATTCTGATAGCTATTGTTGTTTTTTTTTAGTTCATTATCAGACACTATTTTTTTGACTGATTACGTTGTGTAGTTTTCCTTTTATTAGGCGGTGATAGGAGACAATGCATAAGATGTTCAAATCAGTTATGTTCTTTGCATCCATGCAATTTTTTAATATTTTGAGAGAATATCATGTGCCTTCTGGATGTTGGAGAATATTGACATTTATATTTTGTGGTTGCCCTCGCAACCCATGGAAAACATCTATAATTTTATTTGCATTACTTTTGAGCCCTATGATTTAGAGTGGACTTATCCCTTCTTTTTTCTTTTAATATGTTTGATAATAGTTTAAGGAGATCTCTGATTTTTTTGCAAAAAAAAAAAAAAGAAAAAATACAAAAGAATTTTTTTGCACCTCATGCTTCGTTTGAGGGCTCTTACTACATCATCTCTAATAGAGAAAAACTTGTTGATGAAAAATCGCTCAATGGTTCTCTACATATCTTGAATTGTTTAGATTTTCTTGTCAATAGAGCAGAGTTTTTAGCTCTTCAAAGACAATCAATCTCTTTCACTCCTATAATAAATAAATAAATAATCATAAAAACAATTCAGCAATCAAATAAACTATAATTAAAAGTTAATTAATGAGAAATTTTGCAAGGAATTTAAAACATTATAATTATGTTTGAGTTGATGTCATTATTGCTACATGTCCATAAATAAGATTTTTTATCAAGTTAATATTTGGGATTAAATTTTGAGACACCTGTGCCAAATTCAATTTTATGGATTGATTCATTGTTCTTTTCAAGAGGAATGCAAAGCAATAAATGAAAACATCTTTATTGCCTCAACATCATCGCCACCATTACCTCATTTCTATTGCCATCGTTGCCAACCTCATCGCTCAATTATAATGACTTCCCTAAACTTAAAACTCAAACATCTCATTTTTGGCGCTTGTTTCGCGTCAGGGGACAACCTTATATGCTCTTGTAGCATGATGGGAGGGAACCCTGTGCAACGCTTTTAATGGGGCTGGTAAGCTTTTATGCACTCTTGTAGCATGGCGAGACAATCTTAAATACCCATATATGTGTTGTCATGCCTGCAGGGGAAAAATTGTGTATTTTTAAATAGGCACCTCAAAGACCCCAACACGCTCTCGTAGCATGGTGGGATTAAAAATCACTGCCATGGTGTCATCTAACACCTACGCTACATGCTCTCGTAGTGTGGAAGGAAAGGCCTAGCTCCCAAAATTTTTCCTAAATGGGGGAGATACCGTGAGACTGCCAAAATCTGAATTGATAGAGGACTTGGACTTAAACAAAATGCAGGGAATAAAACTTAAAATGATGAGCAGGGGACTAAACTTTAAATTAACGAAAGGCACGATCAAGATGAAAATACAAATAATGAATCATAATTTTTGTCATCTAATTGAATATCAATGAATAAACAAGGGGTAAATGACTAGCCAGATTCTCAATGCACAATTTATCGATAAATAGTAAAATTAAAGTAACATGTCATATTCAATTAACCAATCTACAAGCAAGGGCCAAGAACAAGTAGTGAACATGGATTCTTATGAGTTTATGCAGAGGACATGTAGTGAATGAGTTAATTGGATTACAAGCATGATTGTGAGCTTATGACACACACAATAATCCATTTATAAGCCGTCACAAGGAACCTTTAATAATCCAATTTTTTTTCTTGAAATGACTTTTTTATTTGAAAAATCTGAATTTTAGCATCGTACCTTGCCGAAGAGGAGATAGGGTAGAGAGAGAAGGTCGTTCGAGGCTTTTTCATCTGTCAATATTTTTAAGAGATTTTTTTTATTTGTTATAAGTAACTCAAATCTCATTTTAGTTTTTAATGATTTTGGTTATTATATAATTTTTCTTGTAATGAATATAATTGATTATTTCTTAATGTATTTTGATTATGGCATTTGCATGATCAAGAAATACTAATTGTTAATATTATAAAATGGGTTGACTATCAAAATATAATATCATACACAATAGAATGGGGCTAATAGGCTTTTCTTTAAAGATAATTTGTGGTGTTATCTAGGTTGTAGCCTATTATAGATGATCAATTATGCCGACGAGCAGAGAGTGACGACTCTTTATTGATTCAATGAAGCCACCTGTAATGACAAATGATTGATTAAATATGATAATTGATTATCTGGATAAGTGATAATTGATCTGAGTAATGACCAATTGGAAAATAATTGTGGTAAAAAATGTTGAAAACACCACATTAAAGTTGGATGTCCTACCTTGCTAAATCATATATTAATGCATGCATATATTGATAGCACTGATGACAATAACAGATGCATTAATATCGTTGACAATATTGGATGCATTAATAATACATAAATAGATGGTGCATATATATATGAATAGATATGATAAATTTTTTTAGTGATTTAAGGCTAATTTTTGCACCGTTGTTTTATTAGTTTATTGAATTTTATATCGATTATTAATTTTTAGCTTCCTTGTAATGATTCTATGCTTTTATTACTGATCATTTTGAGTTTTATTAATAATATTTGGATATTAACTATATTGACTGATATTGATTATGTTAGATTGAGCATGTTATAATGATTCTTTAGTCCTTTCATTGAAAGTTTTAGTGAGTTTTGGATTATTGTTTAGCTTTTGAGCTTATTATATGAATTTTTAATGATTTCATATCAGAGAATGGGTCATAATCAGTTGGAGTGAGATTATTAGAGATCTTTAAGTTTTCATTAAATTTTATTATGTATTTTTATTTATTATTTTGTAGTCAGGAGCTTGTGATAGAGTAATCTCCTAGCTACTGTAAATGATATTTTGGTGAATACATAGTATAATATCTTGATGTATATAATTTTAGTTATTTTTTATGGCTATTGTTTATATTAATGATTTATAGAAGCTTTAGTATATTCTCAAAATGACAAATAGACAATTCTTTCAAATTTGATTCTAGAGCATTACAAAACTTGTGAGTGTTTATAGGAGATAACATAATGTGTGAAAGTGAATACAGTAACTTGACAACCAACAAATATAAGGAGACAAATGATGAATGCAGTTCATCAACGATCAACAATAACATGTAAATGAGCACACTGTCTTATCTATATAAGATAATGTTAGATATGTTGTGAGATGGTAGCTATCCTACAAATATATTAAAGGAGACTGTGATAAGCAACTACAAGTCATAGTATGGGATTCATTAGTGCATGATAGTTTACCTGAATAAAGTAACAAATGGCCTATAATGTAATGCTACAATTCTCATATAAGTAGAAGCAGGGGATTCATAATAAAAACTATGAAATGAGGCAAAAAATTTGCAATGCCAGGCTGTCACACTGAATAAATCAGCTCACTTGTAACTAACAGGTGAAAGATTCCTACTGTGTCACACAGCTATTTACAGATAAAAATATACTCCTATAGGTTGAATGTTGAAGAAAATGATAGCTTGCAGAAGACGAAAGGAGCTAAATAACACTATTGATACATGATAAATGAAGCCCAACACATTGTTAAATTATACCACTAGATCCGCAACATGCATACAAGTAGACACAAGGCATTAACTAATTCAAAAATAAAACTCTGCATACATATCAAAACTGATAATTTATATAGTTGGTCATTAAAAAACATCCCCTTGCATGTATTAAAATATATACTGATACGTTCATAACATGCATGTATTTGTAGTATATATGATGCATTATGTAAATACACCATCTAACATGTAAAATGCTCCACACTTTAACGACAAATTGCATTAATATGTAAACTGCATTATACGCATATACACTGCAACATACAAAAAGCATTACATAAGTATTATTTATCACATGTAAAATATAACGTGCAACAACAACACACTATAGTGATATGCAAACATATCATGCACTATACGAAAGCATTGTATCATTATGCACCATATTATGCATGCAATCATCTACTACCACATTAAGCTAACATGCAACATGCCAAATATTAAGGAATATAAAAACATATGTATTAACATAAACATAACATGCAAATATGTCATGTACACCAGTTGCACTACATATATATAATGTATATGCAAAGACAAATACTCATATGGGCCATGGTGAGGGTGTTTTAGGCACACATGTGACATCTAAGGATACTACATGGGTCAAGAAATGAACCTAAGTTTGAGCTCGATCATTCTACATGAATACATGGGAATCGACACAGCTCGAATTATCTAGCAAATATATGGTTACGACATTGACCGATATATTTATTTATATATTAATATTAGGCCTTCAAGATCTATAATAAGAAAAAATCACTAATAAAGGCATAAAACAGACAACAATCCTGATTCTTTATCGTCAAGCTGACAGAGTTGAGAAGGTTCAACCAATTAAATGAAAATTACCCATAGATGCCTTGATGATAGCCATGTTGATAGAAAATCTCAACCATAAAGGATCTCAAACAATCAAAATAACTCCCAAATTCCCATAAAAATTCAAAACTTGAAAAATCATAAATAATTAAAATATTTTAAAATTAAAACAAAACCACCAAAATACTTAAAGCAAAATACCCTTCCAGCCGCTGCAATAGTTTACCGATGTGGATAAATCTAAAAATTACTTCAGTTCATAAAGAATAAATGTCTGATTGAGAATATCACTAGGATTAATTCTCAATCCATCTCTTGCCAGTAAGGACATGACACATGTCCTCTAATTGATGGTCTCACCGCCAAATGGCACCACAAGAAAAAGGTTATAATTGGGACTCACTAACTGGATATTTTGCTGCCAAATGGCACTGTTACATTACGATCATGGTCAGATCTCGTATGTTCCCCAACGACTTCAAATTATTGAGTAATGAATCAATATGATATGATTGATAGGGCACAAAGCCCACTATTGACTAAGGTGGATTCAAATTTATCCCCTTAGATAAATATTCACCATAGGGTGAACGAAGTAACCCATGGCTACCAACAAGGACCCTTCTGTTAGATTTCATCGACTACATCCTCTGACTAAGTAAACCAGGGACCATGATGACCCGAGAAGACAGAATCATGGGATCTTGATCTAGTTTATTATCACTCCCCCAATATCTGCTTAAGGTGCAACATGGTAAAATTTTAATTTTAAATATTAAAATTTTAAATACCAAACCTTGCTGCTACTATACAACAGATACTATATATTTGTTTGACGACTAGCATTAATCGAAAGTTCTCTCATTATTGGAAGGGGTATTTGACTATAGGGGCTTGTGCTTATAAGAAAGCTGATCTCAAATTATAAAGTCCTCACAAAATGAGAGTGAAATATCTAGGTAATGTCTTATTCAAAATCCAATCTGCCTTCTAAAAATTTACCTCATAACTTAAGCATTAAAACTCTCTTTGAGGACCCAAAAAAGAAGAAAGGGGCCATAGAGAGGTTGGGGTGCAAATTTTTAGAGCCCACGTTGGTTCAACAATGTTGTTGGTCAATAACTAAATAGAAACTTATTCAAAGGGCTCCAATAATCTCAAAATGAATCTTACAAACTCACTCTAGATTTAGGCTTCGTTTGGGACAACCTTCTTATTGCTTCATAAAATTGTTATAGAGAAAATAAATTTTTGAAGCTATTGTAGAAAGTAGCTTTCTAGTACAAAATTTTTTTTGAAAGCAACAAAAAAATAGTGGTCTGACAAAAATTATGATTGTGGTCTAAAAAATAAAGTAGTAAAAAATATGTCCAAATGAAACCTTAATCTCGATTGGCTCTTTATACTAAATAACTCAACTCTTTATCAAAGCACCACCTCATGTGGAGGATCATGAAATATATTTATTACTCATCCAAGAGTAATCATCAAAGCCAACTAAGTGATTCTCTTAAGTAGAACTTGCCAACTATTTAAACATTTTAATTCATCAAGGAAACTTTCTTCAATAAACCTAGTAACCTAGAGTTCTTCAATAAGCTTAATCACTTGCATTTATTTTACAATCATCTAAGGGGATGGTTGGTTGTAGGAAAAGTGAATGCAAAGTAAATCAAATGCATTACTTTTTTACTTTTTGGTGTTTAGTTGGATACCGTGTAAAGTAAAATAAAATTAATATGTATTCCAAACCCCGTCTCCAGTTCATTTTTCGCGTAAAAGAAATATGCCCTTTTAAGCAAAAAAGGAAATCATGTGGGAGAAAAAGAGAGAAGCCCATGGGAAACATCTTCGTCTCTTCATTCACGTCGTTTATTCCATGTTGGATGCCAACACGAGCGTCGGGGAGAAGTGCAAATCGACGTTAATTTTTAGATTTGGATGTTCGCAACATTGAGAGAAGTGTAGTGATTCATGCCCTTCCACGATTCAAGCATTCCGTTGCTGCAACTTCGACGACTTCACACGACGTGTGGCCTTTGGCGAGGCATTGTGTGACGAGCAAATTGAGCATCTCGGTAGACGAGCAGATCGACCGCATTCCAAGCTTGGCGGTCTGTGAGTTTAAGGCGCTCTTTGTGCTCGCATTTGTACTCATTTGGCGCCTCATTAGCAGGTAAATGATATTGTTTAGTATCACCTCTTCTTTTTAACTTGCTTTCATTTTCACTCGCTAGTTTCGAGCTTAGAATCCCTCTATGTTGCTCAAGTTATATTCTAGGAGAGAAATTGATAGAAAGCAAAATGGGTCTACTCTGCAACCAATCCATGCTAGTGATCAAAATATAGCTTGGCATGGCATTCATTCTAGTTTTTAATATTTCTTCGTGATCAAAATATAACTTAAAATTCTAAGACGAATTATAAGGAAGAAGAATATTATTAAACGAAGCCTAAGGGGCCAAATATTGAGCCTGAAGTAGTGCAAGGCTGAAATTGATAATGAGGTTAACGACAATGGGGTTATAGAGAGCGGCCAGAAGAACAAGAAGAACTGCCGCTGCATTTACTTTACACTGCATTCACTTTACTTCAAGCCAGATAAAAAATATAAAAACCTGCATTTACTTTACATTCAATTAAAAAACTCTAAAATATTTTAAATACACTACAATGCTTTTATACTGCATTCATTTTTCGGATAATCAAACAGCCTTTAAATAGTTACAAAATATTTCAAATGTATTATATTTTTTTTACTGTAAATTACACACTTTTAAAGATAACCAAACAGCTCATTAATTAATTAAAAAAATATTTTTCCTTAAATCATAAGTGTAACAATAAAATTATATAACATTAAAATCACGTGCGCATTTGCAAATTTGAAAAAATTGCGGTACTGACAGGATATATTTAATATTTTCTTCCATCTTTTGATTTTTTTATGGTTATTTTTCGCGCAAATTAAATGGAGTCGGCTGAAGTCCCGCCTGGAGCGGCAGCGGGACCCGCGTTCGACCGGTCAGGTGCCCCAAAAATCGCGCATGGAAGTTTGAACGCAGAAGCGTCGGCTTTACCGAACTCAAAAGCAATTTTGAATACCCCATCCTGATGAGCAACGCAGTTCTTCCTCTCTATTTATATCCAGCCCTAAACGATTCTCTTATTTTCTCGGTAGATTTCGGATTCTGAGAAGCGAGGCGGGAAGGGAGGAAATGGAATCTCTGCTAACTGACGGTTTTGCCCTCCATCCGCGGTGTTCTGCAGCAGCTGTCCTACGGCCGGCGACGGGGGGATCATTCGCGCAGCTTTCTCGCCCCCTGATGCGTCGGCGATCTATACACCTGTCTCCGGCGACTGCCAGCAGGATATCCGCCTCGGCGACGAACGGGTCTTTGATTTCGAAATCGATGCAGGTGCGGCTCTTAGATGATTCCCGTATTAGTATCCAGGGTTTCAATTTTTTAATGAGTTCGAAATTCTTCCATTGAGATAACTATAAATGGCTATTATGAAGTATACGTGCAACCTGTGTAGTTGTAATTCTTATGATGGTTTGTAGCGGTAGAGTTAGGAATTTTGTTCAATGGACATATATAAATTAATTAAGTTTTTAGGATGCACGAATTAAATGTTTATTATAAACATTAAATAATAAATATCATGTGGATAGTAATATATGTCTATTATATATAAAAATATACTAAAAAATTATGGCGAACAGAGCACTGGCAATTCCCTCTGCCATAGATTTCTGGAATTAGAATTTTTTTTTTTAATATTTAGTTAATTGAAAGTAAGACACTGCCTATTCCAGATAGCAAGGCACGTGGCCAATTAGGGAGATGGATGGCTCACTGCTAGTTACAGACCAAAATTTACGCAGAAGTTAGGGAATATTGTGCAAGGCTTGATGATTCATTACCTTAAACTACGAACATAATTTATGAATATGCACAACAAAATCAACTATAGAAAAAGGAAAAAAATAAAGATTGATAAATAAAGAAATCATATTAGTCGGGATGCGTAGTATCACGATCTGACTTGGAGGCTCGAATTAATGAGACGGGTACAGAAGATCGAATGGGTTTAAAATTTTATTTGCTAAAATTTTTAACAATAACTATTTCCAATATATTGTAAGGGCCACTAATCTCTCAACTGTATTTTAAGTAATTTGTAGTAATGATAAGCAATTAAATGCAATTAGAAGAATCAATATCATTATCATAATTTAGAAATATAAGTACTCACCTCGATTTATAGGACTCGGTGATTCACCTTACTCCACCGTCGTCAATTTAACACCTAAATAATTACATCTAAGATGTTTTCATCGTCATAATTTTGAAATTATACCTAAAATAAAAAAGTTTCTATTTTGATCTATTTTCTTAGTATATCGCGAAACTAATTTTACTCTAAAATTTTAAATTATTATTTTTGAACAAGCTACATTGCTCTCTCACTCTCTTTCTTTCTCTCTATTCACAATATAAATTTTAAATAAACAAAATCTCATTAATAATATATTCATCTTCTTCCTAAAAAGAAAAGTCCTAAAATCAAATTTCTAAAATAAAATACAAAAATTTTCTTAAACAAATTAATATTTTCATTATATATATAAATAAGAACATTTCTTTCTCAATTGTCAATGTTGCTCACAGCTCTGCCCCCGACCTTGCACAGAACTCGCTCGCAAGTCCTTCTCCCTCGCTCCCCCCTTCTATCTTTTGACCCCTCTTCATTTTCACTCTTCATTTTAAGGAAATGAAACTCTCCCCATGAATAAAAGAGGCGCAGAGAAACCAGAAATCTATGAGCTTTGAGAATTTAGGTCCGCGCTTCTTTTATTGACAATGAGAGTTTTAATGAGTTTATGTTTCGGAGTTGATTTTCATAAGGTGGATTAGGTTTTAGATAAGACAATACCTAGAGATTTCACCCTCATTTTACTAGGATTTATAATTTGAGTTTTGGTTTTCCATAGGCGCAAGCCTGTATGATTAATTAAACCTTTCGATAATGAGAGAGAACTTTTGATTATGGCTAGTCGGTAAATAGGTCGCAATATTTACCTAATTTATAATAATAACAATTGTAGGGTTTAAATTTGATATTGAATTTTAGAGTTTATAATTTGAAATTTATCACCATATACTTAAAACAAGTGATGGGGGAATGAAAACAGGCCAGATCAAGATTCCATGATTCCATCATCCCGAGCTATCATAGTTTCTGGTCTATTGTCAGAGGAGGTGGTCAACTCAACTTGACAGAAGAAACTTTATTGGCAACTATGGGTTTCTTCGTCCAAGAATACTTCGTAGATTTGAGGTGGATGTTTCCCTAAGATGGTGAATTTAATTCAATCTTAGCTAACAAAGGGCTTTATATCTTATAGAGCGCACCTTATAATTCATTATTGAGGAGGATTTTAACCATTAGGGAATATACGAGCTTTGATTATGACCATAATATAGTGGTGTCATTTTATAGCAAAATCACTCGGTCAGAGGGCACATGTCACATCCTTGCTGGCAATGAATCAACTGAGAATGAATTATAGTAATACATTCCACAAGACATTTGCTCTTTGTGGGCTAAAGTTATTCTTCAATTCGTCATCCCTGCCAAACCGTTGCGAAGTGTGGATGAATTTTTATTTTAAGTTTTTGTGATTAAATTTTTATTTAAATATTTAGAATTTGATAGATATTATATTTTAAAATTTTAATAGGCTTTGCGAGTTGACCCCTCCAGTTGAGATTTACATTGCATTACTTCTTTTTTTATTTCTTTGCTTTTAAAAAGATCTCATGTACTCTTAGAACATACTATTCAATGAATATTGAAGTAATCCTTTGGAGAAGCTTAGTAGCCTATCCAAATTGAAAGTATTTGGTGAGCTTCTTGTTTTCACCTCTTCCTCCATATCATACACATCCAAAAATCTAGCTGCCAGTTGGATCTTCCTCACAACCTTAAGAAAAACCTAAACCGTTCAAAGGTCATCTTCAATATCCTCTCCCGACCTACATGATGAAAATCCTAAACCATACACCTCTCGTGTTCACCATTTTCAAGCACCATTTAGGCCATCCCCAACCCTTCGACCACATCTATGCTCTCTTCTACATATCAACTAGGCCACTAGGCCTAATTCCTCACTTGATCTTTCAAACACACCCATTGTAAGCCAAATTTAAACCCTCTTCTACCCATAAATCCCATTAGATAAATCCATCCTATCATCACCTCTGGCACCCTCCAATAGCCCCTCTACATAAAACCGCTTCTACCTCCTCTCCAAAGGCTTCACCTGAACACTACGGGGAGGGGGAGAGAGATTCCAAATCATAAAAAGTAATGAAGCAAAATTTAAAGCAAATTCTAAGTTGTAAGAATAAGACAACTTTTTTGCTACGAAAAAGAGGATGTTTCTGTTGCCACAAAAAAATAGGGTCTTTGTGTGCACTGAAAAGTTTGCGGACTTAGATAGAGTGGTTAGATTTCACCATTATTATAGAAGCCTACACGTTTGAATTCAATAAACAACCTCGCTAAATTTAGAGATAAATTAAGTGCTTCAACCCACTCCAAGCCCTACATGTGGGAGGAGCCTTGTTAATTAGGTATGTCTTGCTATAGGAAAAAGATGTGTCAGAAAAATAAGTATCGATTTTTAGTCTAACAGGATGGAATTGTGTTGTTGATTCTAGTATGATTATATATGCTAAAAAAGTCTTAAAAAGTATTGGTTTAATCTAGATTGTTCATTGTGACCCCTAATGTCTTCAGGCAAGTGAAGTTGAAATGATGTGGGGCACAATCATCCTTTACTATGACTATTTCTAAGTAGTATATAGAGGTGTTGATCTTCTGCTTTCACTGGCACTATCCATGGGCTTCTTGATTACCTAAATAATTTGAACTATTTGCAATATTATTGTAATGTGCCTTATTTGCTGATTTACAGTCAAACCGCGGAGTTTATGCGATTGGCGATTTTATGACAAAAAAGGAAGATCTCATCATCGTCAAGCCATCTACTTCAGTTGATGAAGGTTTTTAGGTTCTGTTTAATAAACGTTTTTCTGTTTCAAGTGTTCTGGTTCCTTATTTCCATCAAAATTCATGTTAACAGCTCTCGAAAAGCTAGTGGAGCATAGGATCACTGGTTTTCCTGTGATCGATGATGATTGGACATTGGTAAGTTCTCGTTACCCTTTTCAAACCTTGAATTATTGTTTTTTTTTTTTAATCATAGTTCCTTTGACTTTCATCCTAAGAAAATAATTGAGGAAATGACATCATGCTACTTTATATACATTCATTTATATAAATGCTTAATTATGTTTTCTCATCTTTTTATATGTTTCATTTGTTGTGAAAATGCAATTATGAAGCATGATTGATTACAGTATTGTTTCTTATACTCTAAGAAAAAGAAAAACAAGGGTGCCAATAGGAGCTTAGTAGCAGTTTAGATGACAACAAGGATGCCAAAAGGAGATTACTGGCGGTTTAGATGACAAACTTGCCATTCTAGGTGAGTTCTAAATAAGTAACTACCCTGCCAATCTAAGTCAGTTCAGGAGAAGCAACTACTTTGCCAATAAGAAGCAATTACTTTGGCAACCTAAGCAAGCTATGAAAAAGAAGTGAACTTGTTATGCTAGTAAAGCAAAAATAACTCAATTTACAATGGCGACATTGATAAAGGAAATAGATTCACTCTCTACCAAAACTAGGAGTTCTTTCAATAACAAAGACACTCTTAACCCTTGTTAGTGGTTTAAAAAAGTATGGAGACCAAAGGAAATTTAGGCAGTCCTCAACCAAGTTTTTGTTGAAGTGAGAGGTTCTTCCATTTTCAATGTTTATTTATCAGAAAAAATAACCTAAACTTTGGAGTCATGATCCTAGATGCTCTCCAAGTATTTGGGTAGCCACATTTATGAGTGGATGAGTGCGCCAAATTGAGGGATAATCTTTCCTAGATTACATTAAGTTTCATAGGATTTAAGATTATGTAGACCCACATGTCGACTCACTTATCAAAAAAGCAGAACAATTTAGTTGCACATAGCTTACCTGAATATGACTAAAGTTGCGTAAACTATATGGAATGCATAAGAGTATCCAAGCCTACTAAAGTGACCACCTAAGGGCTGAAGTCACCTTTTTCTCTCTTCTCTATTGTAATGGCCACCGTCATTAAAATAATAATAATTTTATTATTATTTGAACTAGCCATTATTCTAAGGGTTTTTTTTAATAATATTTTGTTGGAAGGTAGTGGGTAGGTTAAGGATATTATGGAGGGATAATGATTTATATCCTCTTAAATTTAACTAAATGTTTTAATGTCCTCTAGGCTTTCGCAAAATATCAAATGCCTCCCTTATGGTGTCTTTTTCATCCAACATCCATTAGTTTTATGTTAAACTAATCCTCTTCCCTTGAACAGATTAGAAAGATAGAGATGTTTGATGTTTATCAAATAAATGTTATGCTAAAATTCCAAAATTCTAAAAATATATCTAAACTGTTTTTTTTTTTTAAATTAGCTTAGTTTTAAGGTGAGTAAATGATAATTACTCTATTAAGATAAAAAAGTCAAAGACTAACTTTTATTTGGAGATTCACCCTTTTTATGTTATTATTAGGGTTATTTTTCATATTTCATGCATGGAATTAAGTGATGCCCATAATTTATGCATGGAATTATTAGATTAAATTTGATTTAGGTTAAGATTCCCTTGGAATATATAAATTGATCATTATTTATAAGCTTTTCATGGATAAATTAAATTCATAGTAACTTGATAAAAATTTGAATATTCCTCCTTAAATAATATCTTTCTCTCTTCATAGGGCATGTTGGTTCTTCTCACTTTAGAAAGTTCAATATGACCAACCAAATTCTTTCTCTAACCCTTTCCGGCTAAAAGATCTCTTTCTCAATTTCTCTCAACTCGTAAATCTAAGGGATTGAGTTGTATCCTAGCAAATTAAGTAGATGAAAGAAGAAAACTAGAACTATAAAGAAGAAGGGGAAAAGAAAATAAGGATGAAGTCATCATCCGCTAAAGCCATGATTCTAGTTATCACTTATCTAATCAACAAGTTTCCACTATACTCTTTATCTTCTTTTATAGTTTACCTTAAATTCTTTCCCCAAAAAAATCTCCAAAGTAATCTCCAGACTATTCGTGTATGGCCAATTTAATCCTAGAATATCACGTTGCTTCAATTTAGTCCATCAAATATATAAATTGATCCACAATAATCCCTCAATTTATTCCATACTTAGCTAAGCTCCCTTCCAGAACAACCCTAGCCTTGCTTGAACTTTGCTAGCTTTGAGTCCTCTGTTGACAACAAAGCTAGGTATGCTATGTTTATACTATGCATTTGCTTCAATTGTATGTGAACCGTGAATGTAGTATGGGTTTACAGGACCTGACATGCATTCATACAAATAGTTGAGGAGTCTTTAGTTACCTGGGTATTTAAACAATGTATATATGGTTAATATGCTTTTATCCATATCTATTCACCCTAACCATGCCTATGTACTCAAAATTGCACACTTAATTTACAAGAAATCGTGTTGAAATGATAACTTATAAGTACACCAAATTTCTAGTGGATTTATATTGTTTTCAGGTCTTTTAGCATAATTTTGGTTCCCTTTGCTATGCATGACAAAGTCTTGTTGCTCCCTGCTTGCAAATATGGTATATTGATTACAATTTTACCAGTTATTCACCTTATCATTTTACTTGTATTAAAAGATTCCATTTTCCAATTATATTTTGTGATAGCTGATCATTGATAAAGAAAATTCTTTTTCACTTTTCTTCCTGCAGGTTGGAGTTGTTTCTGATTATGATTTGCTGGCATTGAAATCCATATCAGGTCCTATTGATATTTTGTTTTTCATAACAATAATTTTAGTACTTTTCATTATTTTTCCATTTAAGGTATATTGCTGCTTATTATTAAATCTATATTATACCTCGTGAACAACATCATAAAGGAACTCACCTGTTTTTGAACTGGATCAATCTTGAATATGCGTACTGTTCCATTACTTTCTCTGATTGTCTTGCTAAGATTATGGCTGTTCAAGCAACATTGTTCATGAAACTTAAAGATGTATCGTCCTAAATATTTCAAAAGAATTAACATATGTTGTTTAGTTAAGGGAGTGAGAGAGAAGGGAAAGGAAGGATGTAGGAGATGGGGACAGCACGTGGGTTTTTCAGTAGCTAAGAGATTACCTTCTAAAAGATTTTATGTATGTATATTGGAGTAAACTTTCAGAGTTTTCTTAGAGTGTACCCTCTAGTCATCAAATAACGAAAGAACTTAATTTATATTGTAATTTGTTTACGGTTTCAGTTCAGTCATAAGCCTTTTTTTTTGTTACTATTATTCTGTATTAAAAAAAATTAACCCCAATCTTCCATATGGAATCTCTATCTATAGACGTCCTTATCTGCTTCTTTTCTTTGATCCGCTAACCAACTAATTCATACACGGTTCAGTCCCACTACTACCCTGTGTTATATACTATATTTCTAGAAAATAGAAGACAAGCAATACAACATGCAATGTGGGTGAAGATAGTTTGGTTTCACTCCATCGGAGATGTTGCTATGTAATTCTTCCTTCTATTTAATACAATTTTCTTCATAAAACAATTTATTTTCTTACTCAAGAGTGTGCACACAAACACTCTCTAATAATTCTCTATGAAAGCCCCATCAAAATCAAAACCCTAAATTTGAATCTTAAGTTTATTCTTAAGAAAACTTCTTGATTATGACTTAGAAACATGTTCCTAAGCAAGTCCTCCCTAGCACCCAAGAAAAACCTTTAGGTATATGTGCCAACATCTTTGTAGCAATGATTTTTTCATAAGAAACTTCACAAATGTAGTAAACTTTCTGTATGCATCATTTGATAGGCTTGATTTTGCACAATTCTTATGTTCATTTTAGACTTCCTATTTTGACAATTGTAACGTATATGTGGTTTGTTTTTCAATATGAAAAGTGCAGCTCATATGTTAGAACTCTATAAGCTTTTGGTCACATGTTTTTATGCTTTTTCCCACTTGCAAATAGCTACATTGTAAGCGGAAAAGAAACCATGCTGATGGTTAAATCATTTTTACTAAATGCATTTCTCATTCTTTCTTATGATTAGGGTGTGGACTAACTGGTAGAAGTATGTTCCCTGAGGTGGATAGCACGTGGAAGGTATGCAACAATGTACTAATATTAAAAGAAAATTAGTTTTTTTTAAATGGTTGAGTATTCTCTTCGTTACTCTTTGGTATGCTATTGCAAAGTATGGAAATGATAAGACTGCTTAGTGCATGATCTCCTGAAAGGGTTGCAAATTATGATGATAAATGTTTTGATACTGTTAAGTGCAATCTTTTGATCGTTAGTTTCATAAGTAACTGTGAATGTGCTTGTGATGGGCTTTTGAAGGAATCAAGTTGAATGAATCCTATCATGCATAATTTCGCACTTTATTTTCTTATTTAATTTTTTTCTTTTTTAAGTGTAGGCTTACATATGTCTTTATAGACATTTAGCAGGTAATATAACCTACAAGATGTATTCTCCTGGATGATAAGAGTAACTCTACACTCATGGAGCTCACAAGAGGACTCACCCAAAAGATCAATGGGTGCCACTCGAACTTGAATATAGCCTGAGTTTTAAAATCTAGTTCAAGCTTATTTTTTAAATTTCATTTCAAATTTGATCCATAAGTAATTAAACATTAATTGAGCCTAACTAATAATATTTAGGATGACAATGATGTAATATATAGCCTTATTACTAAATATAAATGTATTTTAAACTCCCTTTGAAATTGGCATAATTCACCTAGCATTATTTCTAATATTTTTTTAAGTTAAAAATTAATAAAGTAAAATAAAATTATATTTTAATCCAGCTTTTCGTTCAATTTTTTCATTATTCTTATACCTATAAAGTAAATAGTTTTAAAAATACATATGATGAAAATCGATACAAGAATAGAGAATGAGTTATCAAAGAAAAAATTAAGTCATCATTATCTTTATGGTCAGTTTTTTTATCAAACAACAATGAATATATTAATGAACATAAATGAGCAAGTAGGTCAATGTTCAAATTTGCTACATATTTGCTCATTTATATACTGAGTTTATAAAAAATATTAGAACTTTTGTAATCGTCTAAATAAATTATAACTTAAGCGAGCCTCATTTGAATAAGTATTGAGCTATTCATTTAGTGTATTAGTTTATTTACAACCCTACTTTCTGATGATTTTCTATTTAAGGGAAGTTCAGCTCACTGCATTCATTTATCAATGGGACCTCGCCAATCTTATTTATTCATCTTGGTAACATTCATGCACAATATCTCTGCGAACTTACAATAAGTTGGTTGTTTGTAGTGCCGTGTATGGGCTTTAATGGTAAAAGGTTGATCTCTTTTGATTCCAAGAAATACAGATGTTATCTTTGTAGCATTGTTCTAGTTGATTCATGCTAGTAGCCGACATTTTTAGTGAAATGCATGATTGAATGAGCCTTGATGCTTGTATGTGTTAGAAAAGGACGATATATGTGGTTTTCTAGTGCGCTACGAGTATTAAAAGCGGGATTTGCGGGTTTTATTGAGTTTCAGAGCATTATACCTTTGCAAGTGAGGGCACGGCGGCTTGATGAGGCATGTCACAATATAGTTTTATTTCTTTTTTTTTTCTAAATTACTTTTTTTTTCTTCTTTCTTCCATTTTCTTTTTTTTTATAATAATATTAATCAATAATAATAATAATAAATATAATAATGATATAAAAAAAAATGACTGTTGAGGATGATTTCGGTTGCTATTGGAGTTGCTGGAGAGATTCGGTTGAGTGCAGGACTATGACTTGCCAAGGCTGGAAGTAGAAGAGGTAGTGGCTACAGTTAGAGGTCAAGAGAGAAATAGGCAGATGCGGTTGGCCGCAAGAGGGATATATATAATATATAATATATAGTAATCATATTAAGTATAATTTATAATAATATATAATATAATATTATATTATATATAATAATATATTATATATATATAATTATTATATGTAATAATAATTTGCTTTATCTAGTTTAGCAGCACCTCTTAGCATCCACCCCAAGCGTCTGACTGACATTTGTCTTTCCGAACCATCTTTTTCTTGTTGAACCTTTTATGTACTAGTAGATCTGTTTTTGCCTGGTTTCTTTTTTACTGTAGTTGATGTGCTGTGTTTTTCATTAGACTGGTTTTTGCTCACTTTGCCAGACATAAACTTCAGGTTCCATTTAACTGCATTTTCTTCTCCAGCTCTCACTTGTTACTGATGAAGCCTTCGATAGAAATGTGCAGGAAAACATGAATTAGCTCATCTAAAACAGTTTTTAGGTTTAATACATCTAAGCAATATCAATATTTTTGTAGATTCCCTCAACTAGAAAATTTCATATCAACTTGGACTACAAAAAAAACATATCATTTTGTTTTTTATGCATTATGCGCTAGTTTTTGGACATAATTAATGCATGATCCTTTCTCATGAAATGTAAGAAGCTCGAGTTTTTTGTTGTCATGCCCCATTTGTCATGCTGGTCTATGCCAAATTCTTTTCCTTTTTTTTTTTTTTTTTTGGACAACTTGTAAAAACTTTATTCTCATGGTTGCAGAAATTTAATGAAATTCAGAAGTTGTCAAGTAAAACAAATGGCAAGACCGTTGGTGAGTTGATGACACCTGCACCTCTTGTTGTTCGGGAGACCTCTAATCTTGAAGCAGCTGCCAGGTTTTCTACTAATCTTACCACAAATCTTGTCTTGCATAAACTTAAAAAAAATGGAGCATTTACAAAAAAAAAAATTTGAATTCAGTATGTTCATAGCTAAATATTTACATTTATTTATATAACACTTTAATTTAGAAAAGCCGAGAGGTAGATCTAAAAAGACTTGGTTCGAAAATATTAGAAATGATCTTTCTTTATTAGATTTAAAAGAGAATTTGACTTTTAACATCACACAATAGAGAAAAATAATTCATATAGCCGACCCCACATAGTGTAATAAAGGCTTAATATTGTTGTATATTATTTTAAGTACAAAGAACTTAGAAAATTTGTTGCTTGCAGGCTATTGCTTGAAACCAAGTACCGCAGGCTTCCAGTAGTGGATGTTGCTGGCAAATTGGTAAGCCTTTTTCTTCATGCTCCAGCTCTTCAAGTTTTTTTGGTTGTAGCTTACCTTACATATTTTTTTTCTTTGAAGATTGGAATCATCACAAGGGGAAATGTTGTTAGAGCAGCGCTACAGCTCAGAAATGCTAGGGCAAAGAGAGCTTAAGGGAAGCAATATTTACTTCTTATTTCGTTTGTTTGGGACAACTTATTTACTGTTTTTTAAAACGACTTTTTAGTATAAAAAATTTTTGAATTCGAAATTTTTTTACTAAAAAATAGATTTATAAAGTAACAAAAAAACTGTCCCAAGCGAAACCTTACTCATACTCAATAAGTTCCAGTCACTTGTGCATATCAATTCCTTCAATGATTTTGGCGAATAAATCCGAGTCTTTCTACATCTAAACTTGTATGATTTGATTGTATGATCTCTTTTGTTACTGTTATAGGTTTTTTCTTTCTTTTAACAAATGCTCATTTAATCATTGTAGACTAATACACTAACGAAGCTCATCCAATTGTTCAGTGATTAGCAATTCATTTATAGAAATTTTAGCGATACTTCTTCAGAAGAGCACTCTTTGCTTCTGTTCCATTAATGATGAGAAGTTAGTAGCGCTGATACCTCGCCGGAGCTCATTAGCCTTTGTCCTATTGCTACTACTTTTTTTTAATAAATTTGGAGAGAACTCAGCCTTCTAAACTATAAGACTTTGTTTGTGATAATTTTCTTACTACTTTTTAAAATAATTTTTTAATACAAAAAGTTTTAATTTAAGAAATTTTTATGTTAAAAAGCTGCTTCAAAAAATAGTAAAAAAGTAATCCAAAATGAAATCTAAGAGATATCTAAACACAATTGATGTAAACTCATACTTTATTTGAGACGGCTTTTTTACTGCCTCTTAAAGTAGTTTTTTAATTTTTGTATTAAAAAGCTGCTTTAAAAAGCAGTAAGAAAGCCATCCCAAATGAAGCCTCACTTAAATTTTTGAAAGGAAAAAAAAAAGGGAAATTTACCTACATATCACTTTATAACATTCTATTTACATATCTAACACTCAAAACTTTAATATTACATAAATACCACCCTATACTATTTTAATATCAAATATACCACTCATATTTTCTTCCTATCACTCATATATTTCATTTCTACCACTCATATTTCATGTAAAAATGAACTATGGGTGGCATGTATGTAATATTAAAGTTTTAGGTGTTAAATATGTAAATAGAATAGCATAAAGTGGTATGTATGTAAATCTCAATTATAAATCATAATAATACTAATATTATTCTTAATATTAATTAAATTAAAATGAGAATTAAGAAAATAAAAAAGATTTGCTCGCTAGAAAATCCCGTAAATCTCGTCGAAATCACCGCCTCCGACGCCGAATCTGTCTCTTCCCGGATTTCCTGCACGGTAGCTCGCCAATTACACCCCACTCATCGTTAAAACGAAGTAAAATAACACTTCGTTAATTTTCCTCTCCTAAGTTCTCACACAACAGCCTTCTCGTATCAAGCCCAAGGCCCATCACTTCCATTCTTCCAATCCACCTTAAAACCTTCTTCTTCCAGCAGCCCAATTATCAAACAGCCCTACAACCACCTATGTTTCAAAACAAAACAATCCATTCCAATCCACCTTACAGCCCCACACTTCCCACTAGCAACTCAGCCCATCTTACTCCACCAAACGGCCCATATAAACCTACTATCTTCAGCCCACTAGCTTCACTAGCCCAACAATCCTCTTCCTTAATTCTCCCAACTTTCAATCAACTTCTAAAGCCTCAACCCACTCAAAACCCAATTCTTCCACCAAACGGCCCACATAAACCTATGAACAATCCACTAAACCCACTCAAATCCAAATTCCTCCACCAAGGGGCCCATGTCTCGCTATCTCTAAACCTTCATCTCATCTATCTATACTTGACAACTTGAGATACTTTTTATTATAGATAATTTTTTTTTTTGGGTAAACCATTATAGATAATTTGAGTGATATGTTTCTAAATGCCCATGTCTCGCTATCTCTAAACCTTCATCTCATCTATCTTTCTATACTTGACAACTTGAAATACTTTTTATTATAGATAATTTGAGTGATATGTTTCTAAATAATAATAATCTTCTTTATTTTCTAACTCTATAATAATTCTTTATATGTTAGATATATTTTTATAAATTCTATTATTTTTAAAAGTATTATGAATACTTTTTATTTTTACTATTAAGAATTAATAAATATCTTAAAATATTAATATTTATCTTTGAATTAATTATAAATATTTAAATATTTTCATATGAAATCTAGAAAAAAAATAATTTGACAAACACTAGTTATTAGGAAAGGGGGTTAATAAATATCTATAAACTAATTCAAGTCCCATCAAAGCCCTCTTAGGATTTATTTGGGATAACTGTAACATTTTATAAAATTGATTATAAAATTAATGGTGAAAAAATAACTATTTTATTATAAAAATCAAACTTTCATCATATAAAATTCTAAAAATCAATAAAAAATACATAAAAAAAAGTAAACAAATAAAATTATAATTACTATCTAAAAAAACAACCATAAAATTATCCCAAACTTATTCTTAAGATCTATTTGAGACAACTTCTCATCTTTTTACTTTTTCTCTATTTTAAGTTTTTCTTTTTTCTTTTAAAAAATTGTCAAGCAATAAATCTTCTATTTAAAAAAAAATAATTAAAATTGCTTTACTGTAAAAAAACTGTTCCAAATGAAGCCTAAATCCACAGCTAAATATGGCAATATAATATGCAAATATATTATTTGTAAAACTGATGAGAGTTTTCTCAGAGGAATAAGGCCACATTTGTTCTAGCAAACGCAAGAAGATAAGTCTCACAGATCATTTCAAAGGGACACTGAGCCATCATATCTAGTCATTAGAGCCTTCAGCATCCCCAACTCACAAACTACTTATTGGTTCACATGAATTATAGCAATAGAAGGCCTTTATAGACACGCTGCTACTTCATAAAAATTGCTAATAAACCTCAGAGAAAACTACATTAGCCTATTACACTGCTCAAGCACATCTCTGACTCTAAATATGGCCACTAGGATATATCAGATAACCAGCCAAAAGACAGATACAGTGATGAACACCAGTCGCCTTAGCCACACCAATACATAAAATGCTCATCCTTGCGATGATTACTAACGAGTCCGCCGCATTTGAGACAGACGAAGCTGCTCCCATCGGCGAACGCATCTAACATGATCTGCATTCTGCCACTCTGTGCAAGTATGGAAGTGTCACTTGCATCTTGCAACAAGGTTGGGTTAGTTGCATTTATCTGTTCCAGTGGGGGAGGTAGAACAGGATTCGGCGGCTGAGCTTCGGCAATCGCGCATTCTGCAAACACGGAGGCTAACTCGTCGGCGGCGGCGTCTGCTCGCACTCTGTTAATGTAAAGTTCTTGAGCACGGAGGAGGGTCTGGCGAACTGCCTGATCTCCTCCTGCAGATTTTATTGCCATCACCACCTGTTAATTTGTTCTCTAGAATCAGAACTAAGGAAGCATGGAAATCTTTTAGGAGTTACAAATGCTAATAATGGGTGTTAAAATTAGTGGTTCATAAAGTAAGTTCATGAAATTTGAAATAAAAGTAAATAAAATATCAACATTCCAAAATTGGAGTGGATTGGAGATGTTAGGAGTTGGTAATTGCTGTGATAAAAGTAAAGATAGTTGTTGCAGACTGCAAGTATTAGTACGTTTAATGACTGCAGTAAAGTAAATAAAGCATGCAAAAGATCAACTCACCAAGATAGGTTATGAACTGCAATGTTAGAGGGGATGGTAGGTGAAATAATATAAATTATTTTAAATTATTTTAATGGAGAAGCTCTCCACTACCACTGCTTGCCAAGCCAATAAAAACATACTTATTTTAAATTATTTTAAATAATGAAAACGAAAAGAAAATTTGAAAAAAAAAAAAACTTTTCAGAAACATAACATTCAAAATAAGCCAACTTGCAAAAACATTCCTCCAAGAAGTATTATGCCAATGAATGCCAACGCAAATATCAAATGGCTGGAAGAAGAAAAAAAGCTCAGAGAACAGAAGAGAAGAACATTTGAACCGCCTAGAACCGTAGATGAGAGTTCGAAAGTCCCAAAGCTTGCAATACTAAATTGATTTCTCCATAGGAGATATTTATAGGCAAGAAATGTTTTTTTTTAAAACAAGCTCAAAATCCGGAATATTTTCTTAATATCACCCATCCAATCTAGGGGTGTCAATTCGGGTCAACGGGTCGGGTTAGGGTCGAACCCGGAACTGACCCGGCACTATTCGGGTCAACCCGAACCAGACCCGGTTTTAAAAACTGGTCAGGTTTTCGGACTCAAACCCAACCCGATTCGGGTCCGGGTCAACCCGACCAGACACGAATGGCTCGGGGTTGACCCAAAATTGCTAGTTTTCGGATAAAAAATGGGGTCAATCTTCGATTTTTGGGTCAAAACGGGTTTTCGGGTTAAATAAGAGTTTTCGTGTCAATTTCAGGTTGCTGGGTCAACCTGAACCCGACCCAATTTTTAAAACGGGTTGATTTGTTAAACCCAAACCCGACCCGTTTTGGGTCCGGGTTGACCCGAAACCGGATTTTTCCGGGTCGGGTTCGGGTCGGGTTTCGGGTCGTGTCAAAAATTGACACCCCTAATCCAATCACATTTCTTCTCAAAATGAGAGAAAGAAGTCCTTGCTTAAAGCTTCCAACCAATGGAACTGACTAAAAGATTTATTCAAAACAGAGTATCTTATACAGGACAATATCATGGAAAATTATGTCAAAAGCAGCTATTTCTAATTGATTTTTAGGTAACAATTTTAAAGATGAAATTGGCCCAACCAAAATAGTCGTCTATCTTTCATTACGCTAACTCAAACCACCCAACTGATTTCACTAATGAAATCAACTAGCCAAACTAGTATGGCCTCATGATAGCAATAGTTTTAAGGCTAGTTATTTTTAAACTTCAGAGAGTTTGATAATCTTATCAGGTCAATCATTCATCACTGAAAGAACCACATTAATTTAGATTCGTTTGATTGGTCCTTTAATGAAATTTACAAATACTCTAATCATTCAAGACATGAAAATTATGACATGCATTTAGGCAACCCTTTTGAATTCCCATATAATTCTCTTTACCCTTCAATCCCTTGAATACATATCTTGATTTTTTACAAAAGCTGGCTAAATATCATCTTGAAGAAGAATAATTAATCCATAATTTTTGTACTAATTGTGCTCAATAAAATAATATACAGTCAATAATCCCCCATTTATAATAAAAAGGCGAAAGAAAATTTGGGGAAGGAAGAACTCTTATACTAAAAATAGTTTGAAAATTAAAACACATAAAAAATGATTTACAAATTAATGAATAAATTAAAACATGATAGCAAAAATAAATTTTGAAATTTTGAACATGATCAAATCATCTTCAAAAATGGGCAAGTGTCAGTACAACCTAATATTTGTCAAATTAAATCAACATTTAATATATTACAGAGACCAATTAGGTGAATTATGAGATTAAATGCCACCACAATATACATTGTTCACCCTTTTCTCATCAGCCAAAAGGAAGAAATATGCAGAAAAATTTTCTATTGATAATAAGGTGGTAGATAACATATAAGAAAAGATATATAAAAGATAAAAGGTACACGATTTTGCAAATAAAAGAGAAAATTTCATCTAGGAACTAAGAAATCTCATTGGCATACCCTTCCTAAGGTGACGACCTATGGTAATGTAGAAGTGAGGAACATCATTAGGAAGAAGAAGAGGAAATCACACCACATGAAAATATGAGTAGAAATAAAGTGCATTCTAAATAGTAAATAGATTTCCTTCATCGCTTCAACCAAGAATTTCTAATTAAATTTTCTCATTTCTCGAAGTTTAGTTTCAATAGGATTAAGTCTTGTACAGATTGAGGCACTTGAGATACAGGGAAGATCAAACCGACTAATTCTGCAGCATATTGCTACATCCCATCCCTAGCAAATCAAATTGTCTGGTTCCACTGTTTTGTTACTGATATATTATTGCATTTTGTGTCACAACTCACACATCCTGCATACCCCATAAAGCATCAAGCACGTTGACTTCCATCGCATACAAATCACAGATATTGCAAACACTTACATACTCTCATCTCACAAACAGCTTCCCAGAACTCATAAGCCAATATCAATTTCTTGTGCCTTGCAAACAACAACTCTTCTTTCGCATCTCGTGCAAATCACACACAGCCTTGCATCTAGCCTGCAATCTCTTGCATGCTCCTTCTCATCATCGCATCACTGCAACTTCCACCACTAGCCTCAATCTTGTCAGGCTTCTTACAAGCTTACTAGAAAATCCCAAATCCTTCGTTTAAATATATATCACTGAACAATCTATGATGTACCGACACGGACATGGCGACACGGACACAGCACGACACGGACACGAGACACAACATTTTTTAAAAATATAGGACACGAGTGCGGCGTGGACACGCCGTAATAAATTTTTAATATAATATACAAAAATTAATGTGACATTATATTAAAAATGACAAGCGATAATAAATTTCTCATGATAACTTGTTTAGCTTATAACATAAAGATGTTTAGTACAAAATGTCTAGTACAACCACAAAAATATAACATAAAATCATTTAATACAACATGAAAGTCTAACTACTCAATAGAGGGAATGATAGAATTAGATTCAAAGGTTGGTCTTTGGCCTTCAATATCATCATCATTAAATATCATTGCTTCCAACTCTAGTTCATCTAAAGAAAGATTTGCAACCTCCAATAATCCCATATCATCAAGGCACTCGAACCATCTCTAGCAACATCCCACGTCTTGTTATCACTTGTCATATAAAGTGGGATTTTCCTTGATAGAAGACGAAGATTTGTATGCACATAAACTAAATCTTCAGCTCGTTATGGAGTTATTTTATTGCTCTTCATTGATTGAATAAATGAGTATATGCTCCAATTTCTCTCACAATATGAAGAGGATGATACTTGACCAAGAAGTTTTATGAAAAACAAACGTAGCAAAAAAAAACCTACAATCTACAACCTAGGATTTGATTTAGGTAAAAACAAGAACAATTGCATATCAAATAAACTAGGGTTTGATTTTGGTATTTTTTTTCCAAAACCCAAAACAATCAAAGTAATTTCAAAAAAAAATAGCATGCTCTTGTGAACACAAATCCACATGATAAATGAGAAAAAATTGAGAGAAATGAAGAATGACAAAAAAAATCGAAATCTAACTTTCAGAAATTTTTTTCCAGGCGATGGCTCGGTCGGCAGCACGCAGAAGGAAGAATGAGAAATGGGACGGCCGGAAGCTCGCCTGCTCGGGACAGCCGGAAGCTGAAGGTGATGATGCGGGCTGGAGCCTGGAAGAATCTCGATCGGCTGTTCGTGAGTCGCGCTCCGCTGCCTCTATCTATCGCTCGAATGAACGCGGGATTAGGGCGGACTCGGGAATGAACCGGCATATTAGATGTGTTTTTCTTTTTTTTTTAATTTAAATTATGAAATAGCCGGACACGCTGTCCGACACGCGTGTCCGATTTAAATTTTTTTTTTAACCGGACACACCCAGAACATGTCGGACACGTGGCCGAGGCGTGTCGGAAGCGTGTCCGTGTCCGACACTGCATTGCCTCTTAAAACGAAGTTTCGGTGCATCATAGTGAAAAATAGGAGTCAATCTAGCTTGCTAATGATGCAGTCTTGTCTTCTTTGATCTCTGCAATAAGTTATGTTCCATGGATTCTTTGGAAGTCAGGCTTCCTCACCGCTGCTAGCGCCTCATTCTCATAAAAATTGCTCACTAATGGGGTCTTTCCCCATTTGCTTATTAAACCTACAGCTTGAATAATTAGCAAATGTTTTCAATACTTGTGACATATGAGACCCAACATACTGCATTGCCAATGTGCGACAAATGAAACCCAACGAGCTGCTAAATAATGTCACCGGATCCGCAACACTCGTACAAGTGGACATAAGTCGTTTACAGGCCCTTAAATATAAAACTTGCACATTTTCCAGATGATCATCACTAGTTACAGTTGAATATAGAACCCCCCCCCCCTCATGCATTGAGATACGCATTGATTCAGTCATATCATGCATATACACATTGCAAAATATAAAACACATTATGTGAAATGCATATTAAAGTAAATACCCGCATGAGTCCAGTCGAACGTGATTTATGCACACACACGTGACGTATGAGAATGCAGTGTTGGCCAACAATTGAACCTAACTTCGAGACAGATCCTTCTATGCGAATAAATAGAAGTCGACAAGGCTCAAACCGTCAAACAAATGTATCATTGCGACGACCGAAATTTTTGTTTTATATGTTCATATTAGGCCTTCAAGACCTAGTATAAGAAAAATTCACCAATAGCAGCATACAACCGACAACAAACCCGATCCTTTGTCATCAAGTTGACAAACTCGATAAGGCTCGACAGATAAAATAAAATTTCCCATAAAACCCCAATGATGGCCGTGTTGATAGAAAATCTCAATCAGAGGGGATCCTAAATATTTAAATATGCCTCTCAAATTCTCATAAAATTTCAAAATTTTAAAAATGTCAAAACCTAAAATATTCAAAATAAAAATAAAAACACCTAAACACTTTAAAAAAATACCCATCTACCCTCCACAACAGTTTTGCCGATGTGGACAAATTTGAAAATCACTTTAGCACACAAAGAGCAAATGTATGGTGAAGAATATCATTAAGATTCATTCTCAAATCATCTGTTGCCAGTAAGAACGTGGTATGTGTCCTCTAACCAGTGATTTTACTGCCAAATGACATCACAGATAAACGGTAATGACTGGGACCCTCTAACTGGGTGGTTTTGTCGTCAAATGATATCATTATATTATGATTATGGTTAAAGAACATATGTTCCTCATCGGCGTTAAATCCTTAAATAATAAATCAATAGGATATATTTGACAAGGCACAAAACCCTATGTTAGCTAAGGTAACTTCAAATTTGTCCCATTAGACAAATATTCACCCCAGGTCTATAAGGTACCATTGGACGAAGCAACTCACGGTTGTCGACAAGAATTCTTCGGTTAAGTTGGGTCAACTACCTCCTCTGACTAAGTAACTAAGGATCATGATGGCCCGGGACAACGAAACCATGGGATCTTAATCGGGTCTATCATCACCCACCATCATATGCTTTAAGAATCGGGTCTATCATCACTCCCTATCATATGATTTAAGTGCAAGATGGTAAATTTTTAATTTTAAATATTAAAATTTGAAATACCAAATCACGTTGTTACTATACGCCAGATACCATTTATCTGTTTGACAACTAGCCTTAATCAAAAGTTCTCTCTCGCTATCGGGAGGAGTAATTAACTATAGGGGCTTGCGCCTATAGGAAACTTGAACTCATATCATAAAGTCCTCGCAAGATGACGGCGAAATCTCCTGGTAATGTTTTATTAAAAACCCAGTCTATCTTCTAAAAATTTGTCTCAAAACCTACTCGTTAAAACTCTCCTCGATGACCCGAAAAAGAAATAAAGGAGCTACAGAGAGGCGGGAGTGCGAATTTTTGGAGTCCATAACAGTAAGATACAAATGAATGTTTCCTATAAAATAGAGCATATGAAAGCTAAAAATGGTATAAAGCAAGACTAGAGTATTACGATCCTATAAACTCTATTTGAATTTCAACTCTAACTTCATAATAATATTGTAATTTCTATTTGATACACTAATATTAGATCAATAACCATCAAAAAAGAATAAAATGGTAGGATACATATGGATATTGTTCATAAAATATAAAGCTAATGAAAGCCAAAAATAACATAAAGTGCAATTGAAAGTAAAAATTTATACTCAATTATATGGAATTGACTACCAAGATAATTTTGCTCCTTTTGTGAAAAATGAATACAATACATCTCATAATTTCTTTTGCAGACAATCTTGAATGATTCATGTTGGAGTATGATGTAAGAATGTTCTCCTACATGAGAATATTAAAAAAAAAAAGTCTACATGCATCCACCATCTAGATTTAATAATCATTTCACAATAAACAAAATGCACAAATTAAAGAACGATTTATATGGCCTTAAATAATCTCTGAGAGCATGATTTGACAAATTTACAAAAGAAACAATCAAGGCTTTGGAAGAAAAAAATTGCAATATAAATCGAGAATCAAATCCTAAAATAAAATGCTAAATGATGCATTGACACAAACATGACGTCACAAACAAGAAACAAACATAAGATGAATTAACTATTGAAAATATGAGACACGAATAAAGGTTAGACATCATATTATTATTTAATATTTTAAAAATAATTTAGAGAAATTAAATAAGCATAATATTAAGAATAATTAAGAAATAATAACTACTTAATAAGAATTTGTGATTAAAATTATTAATATTAGGATGTCGAGAGTTGAGCATCGATGTTGAAATGACGACCATTAATGTTGAAACAAATTTGGATAAAAATGAGATACCGAGATAACATGGTGGCGTGATTGTAAGTGTAGAAATTGTTGGCATTAAGTGCCAATGTCAAGCAGCATTAGACTTTGATATTGAGGTGATTTTGATACATTGATATTGTGACGACTTTTGACATCAATGTTGAAATGACATATGGCATTATTATGAAATCTTAGCCACAAGCCACCAGAGACATGAATATGAAAATATTCGGAGCATGGGTAATTCAGTTCAGGAGATCGATTTGAGGCTATGGAGAGGAAATAAGAAATTTTTTTAATAAGTAAAAGTTTGAAATACAAAAATTATATTTTAAAAAAATTCATAAAATATTAAAGAAACATGTATCCAATTTATTTTTAATTTTTTTTAATCTGACAAATCTTCAGCATGTCCACACTACACACTTGTTGGACGCAGTGTCGTGTCTGATATTTGAAGAGAAGTGTTGGTGTATCATAAGATAAAATGCATGTTAAAAATAAAATACCACATATTCTCCACCACCATTACTACTTAAACTTCATTCATAAGAATAATCGTCATCCCAAATTGAATTTTGAAATGTAAATAAATCATGAGATGTGGATCTTGTGAAACTTCAAATCTTAATGAACTTTCTTGCAACATCTAGCCCTTTTTATTGAAAATTTTCTTTTAATAATCTTTCTCGTAACATCTAGCCCTTTTTAATGGAAAATTTTCATTTAGAGGTTTCATATAAACTTGGTACATACTTATCTCAATATCTTCTTGTAATTATGTCCACAAAAATTGGCCTAACATCCACCCTCTATATAAAATAAATAGAACAAGAGGAAATGCAACCTCCAATATAAACAATGGTTAAATCCAATAACTAATTAAGTATGAGCTTAGAGATTAAAGTTTGAGTATAAATAGTCTCATAATAAGGATCAGTCAACATAAGGAGCTAGGTTAGTTTCAAAAAATGGAGTTTCCTGAGCATAATAAATCACAAAAATGTGAAAAATAACCTCAATAGAAAATGAATAAAGCGTAACAACAATATACCCATCAGGAGCAACTAAACGATCAATTTCCTCAAACAAATGATGTATTGAACTTCAAATATCAAGATCCAATCCCAATACTTGAGGGGCTGAATTTATGTGATACAAATTGGATTCAAAGGGATTCTCAAGCAATGCACGGCTAAGATTTTTTTATATTGATACTATCGATCATCTTAATAAGGGAGCTTTCTATGTGTACCATTAATTTGAAGGCTTGCCTTTAACTTATATTTTTTTTTTACCACTACAAAGATAAATGATGCTTATTGAAGATATTTAAAAAGTTTATTTGATTCCAAAGTTCGGTTGAAGGCTTAAGCTTACACAGGGTAGATCAGTGGATTTCAATGACAGTCATTATATGATTCACTTGAGCGAAGTTCAAATGTACCATCAAAGAAAAAAGCATATTTAGATTTAATACAAGGTTAAAGATGGTGAGATTTTAATTCAAAAGATTTATATCTAGCACAAACTTCTAGGCCTGCTTACCGATGTGATCCCCATTTCTCAAGTCCACGCATTGCCTGGACTTGAACAGCTGGTGCAACTACTCAAGGCTTTGTTTATGGAGATTTTTATAATTTGAGCAAGATTAATTAATCACTTTGATCTTTAATATTATAGAGTTTGATATAAAAAATTTTAGTAATTATGTTAAAATCTCTTGGATTTTTGGCATAAAACTTATTTAGCCCCACTTTCATCCAGGTTTTCTATTAGCTAGGCTTCTCAAAAGAGAAGCAGAGTGGCTTTCTTCTCCTAGTCAAATGAATCAAAAAGCAAGGCTCCTGAGACATCAAAATGAAAGGAGATCAAACAAGAAAGAGTGATGGTGGGAGAGTAAAGGAGGAGAGAAAGCTTGAGAACATATCACATAGATTGTGAGATCTCTTTTATAAGCTAATTTTTTTCTCTTGGACATATACTGATAGAGGAACTTCTCTCCTATTTCTCGTTCCCTTTAATGATTGCAGTGAGATATTTGTCACTATCCTCTTGTTCTACTTAAGTAAAAAAAAATTAATATATATTTTAGTACTCCACTTGTTT